ACAAATACTGTGAACACAGCCACAAAGGTACTGTGAACACAAAGAGATACACACAAATACTGTGAACACAGCCACATAGGTAAACTCACAAATATTGTGAGCACAGCTCAAAAGGTACATGCATAAATATTATAACACAGCCAAACAAAGTAGACACACTAATACTAGGAATGCAGCCACAGAGGGACACACAAAATGATCATGAATACAGTCAAAAAGGTACACATAATACTGTAAACACAGCCAAAACAGTCAACACAAAAATCCAGAAATAATCAAACAAATACACAGGGTTACACACAAAGACACACACAGAGGCAAACATTTCTCAAAAAGCTATAAAGGTACATCCACATCAAACACACTGTCCCATCAGAAGGAAATTACACAAACAGGAGACATTGAATGAGTCCACTGTGTGATTTCAGGGGTGAGGCCTCCTCGTCCTGCTTACACACCTTCTTCGAATGGGAACCTCTACACGTGTGATACGACAAGTGTCAATCAAAGAGGCCATCCAGTCAGCAGCAAATGGCAGAGCCGTCTGCAGGACATGTTGACACCCAGTTCATCACGTGCCTACGCCATGGGCTGTGCTATCATCACTTTGCTTCTACTAACAGTGTTTCTCATTTTCTACTTTTTGGGTGAGATTTCATATTGATTCATTTTCAGTCGTGATTTTATTTTAAAATGCCCCTGCCACTAATATAATGTGGCTTTGTGTGTAACCCTAGACGGACAGACTGACATTATGTTTGTGTGTCTGTTCCTTCTCCAGTCCAGCAGGGCGGCGCAATCCAGATGTTGACAGATGCAGTGAGGGAGAAAGAAGCTGCTGCCACAGAGCTGTCACTACTGATCCAAGAGCTGCAGGCACTGAGACACAACCTGACGGCAAGGAGAGGGGGGACATGACGAAGATACACCAAAAAATACAGTACACTTTAAATATGGACGTGAGACATGGGACAAAGTGCATTAAAACTGTGCTTTACACTGAAAATTCCCTTGAAGCAGACACATTTGTCTGTCAAGATGAAATGAATGTGATAGAACCGTGCAATTAAGAGACATTTCTATAAACTTTCCATCCCAAAGTCACATTATCAAAACAGCATGACTGGTTGGATTAGAATAATTTAGTTGGTTTATCTCATGATGTTACATCACACATTTAACATTTACAGAAATCAAATTCTTCATCATTATTTCTCAAACTAACAAGTGAATTTGAAATTGTTTTGTGCTGTCAATCACTTGTGTGAGCAGGTGTCAATGATATTTCACTATATGTATCAACATATAC